AATTAAAAACCATAACCCTAAAAGACGTTATGGTTTTATATTTAACTTTAAGTTTTCACCAATTATTCATCCGATTTACGGGTACACCGAGTTCCACTACTGACAGTCTAGATTTTCGAAAGTAAGGGGTCCATTTTTGGCACTTTATTTCGCTTTCACGTCAGGCGATTTTTCAGTTTCATAAATTGAGATGCTAGCTAGTAACGAGTTTACGAAGGACTTTTTCGAGGGTGATTTCAATGACAAATCAAAATGTACTAAAAAATAATTGCAACTTTTATAATTGTTGCACGTGACTTTTTTATATTCAAGGGTTCCGGAAGCGCGCCACCAGGGGTGAGCTTTCAGGCTTTATTGTCCATGTAGTAGTCTTAGTTATGATAGTCTGACTACAATACCGCAGTTGGATTTCTTGATGGGACACATATTCACAGTAGGCCTACTACTGCTTCTGGCAGAAAAGCAAATTTTCCGCTTTTCTTATTCATCTTTTGTCGCCAAATTTATAGGACCTTTGGTGATGAACCGCATAAAATGTTGAGAAACTGAACAAGCTGCCCGCTAGGGCTTGAAACCAATGCAATTTGTGCCTAAGGATGATCTACCAATTATGATTCGTGAACGACTGCTGAACGACACGGTATGTTTAAGCAAGTGGAAACATTTAAGTGGCTTCGCGTTTACTGCGGACGGTGCGGACCGCGGAGTCAAGGCCTCTATCTTGCAATGGCTCTCGGAAGATAAACGCATTTCTAGTCGGTAAATGGATTTTTTTCAAAGTGGACAGGTTCTTTCTTGTCATACAAATAGCATATGCTGAGCCTGGCGACTGGAAGTACGACCAGCATATACTGTCACGCAATCTTTTGGTGCCGAAATAGTGAGGCCAAAGATTATTTCACCCTTTCGACTAATTCCACCAAATTATAAGTGGTGTTTCAAAGCTAATTTTTTTTCAAAATCATTTCCTGACGTTATAATAAGGGTGCTCAAAGTGCCGATAACACTCAATGCATCTCTCTGTGTATAGTATCAGGTCCAACAGAAGCAGAAAAAAAGGTTAATGGAAGTGCACCATTGAAGAACGGAAGCCGATTTCACTTTGGGCTTTTAGTGAAACTTGATTTGACGTTTGACCAAAAATACATATAGCCTGTCGTGCTTCGAAAGAAGCGAACGTAATCTAATTATTTCCCTTCTGTAGCAGTTTCCCAGGAAATATTATTGGAGCCGTTAATCATATCAGCAAGGATGGCAGAACAGGCGTGAAAGATATGAAGGTCGAAATACCTTATTACATCAGTGAGCTCGTAATTGGCCATACTCTGGTGAAATTTCTAATTGTTCGGCATGACCAGAGTGCGAAAAACCCCAGCACATGGCTGGCACAAGACTGTGGTGGATTGAGAAGGGTTTCGCCAAATGTTCTGTAAAGCCCCACTGAATAATTTGCAACTAACATTCGGAATGTTCACTATAGGCCTAATCAGCTCTAAAATGGGGCTCTTAACAAAGGGTGTTTGTTCAGGATGGAAAATGGACGTAGAGCCACAAGCTTGTTAAAAAAAACCACATCAGAGAAACTCGGCTCTCTCAACATTCACTCTTAAGAAAAAGTAACAAGATTAGAAAAAGAATGTATTTTTTTAACTTTGGACTGTTGACTAGAAAACATTCGTTGAACACGAATCTTGTCGAAACCCGAACTTACGGTGTGCATTTTCTATTTGAATGACAAGGCTTCGAGTCATTTGGTAGATAGAATCCGGTAAGAACTGATATTTTAAGACTGTCTGGACTATGTTATGCACTGGGCTTTCGGCAAAATTGTAACCACTTCGGAACGCATTGATCAATTAAGACAGTTAGGTTGTTTTTTTCTTTAAAGAGAGTTGCCCATCATAAAGATCTAATTCTAAGGGCCACTCGAGGTGAAGGCTACACAAAGAAGGGTTAGAAAAAAGAAACTAAGAAAATAAAATAATCCAAGTATTGGACCACCGATTTGACGTTACTCTTAAAATGGCTCAGATTATAATCAAATAGAGAACAAACTACAGGTAGGGAGTTTCATAGTTTACCGCTCGATAGTCTGAAGGGATTTGTTGGATTTTTCACAGTCGTAAATGTTTCTTTTCTTTGGTGATTCGTTGCTGCATCAGTACATGGCAGTAAGCCAATGAGCAAAGTTTTCTCACAAATATTTACAGTAAGCATATGTTTGGGTTCCCAATTTGAGCAGAAAACCCCTAAACTGAACTGTGTCTTCCTGAAATGACAGCAACAGCGCCCTCAATTGTCAGGAAAAACACGGAAACTGTGAAATGTACTTTTCAATAAAATTAACCAAAAAAGGGATATCACATGCTGTTCATACATTTTACGAGGAGTATAGAAAGTTGCACAAAACTATGTTCCTATGGGGAAAAAAATCACTTCGTGACCCCTTTAACGACACATTTTATTTCCATAAACTTGAAATACACACAATGAAAAATCAAAACACCAACATTTATTTTCGCAGAGGCCCTTGCACAGCCCAGCATGAGCATGTCTGGACAAGTAAGCAAATCATAAATCATCTTGATGACATTGATCACGAACGAGGTAATGAAATTACGCCTCAAAGACGGAAAATATTTCTGGATCTAAGAGTGTTTTGTCACGGAGTGGTTTTAAGTCTTGAACTACGCGCGTTGACATGCATGCACCCCTCCCCAACCCGTGTCATAGTCAATTCAATTAACTAAAATGTCATTGTCAATTCAATTGCATTAATTTCCATGCATGGATTCAATACAGCTGTCCCTCTGGTGTTTTTACCTCACGAGTCGCGAGGCGTCCATTATTTTTTTTTTTTGGTATAATGTGTAGTGTTTTAAATTGTTTTCTTTACATCTCCTAATACTTTGCTATTATTGACGGCATATTCAGAAAGGAAATTTTGCAGGAGAACATTCTTGCCTGTCGTCTTCCATCGTCAAATTGAAAGGGGAAGAAACACGACAGTTTCTGAAGAGTAGCCAAGTTGACCTTTCGACAATAATGATCCACTAACTATAATATGTTACCTATTTGGAATAAATTGGAATCGGGGTCCGTATTATTGGCCTCTAAAGCCTCCCCAAAAAAGATGATTCGTTACACATTTAAAAAAAAAAAAAGGTTTCCCGACCTCAATAATGAGCTTCCAACTCCCATTTCCAACAATGCAGTAGGCCTATACATCTTTAATATCAATATTATTTTGCGCATAGTATTTAATTCATTATTTTTGTAGGACATTATTTAAGAGCGCTTACGTACAGATTGTTCTCAGTGGTTTTTCGCGTTTCGTTCAAACCTTTACTTTTTCCGCCTTAATTTGTTTACTTATCTGGTTGTATTATCTGCCAAAGACAAAGCCATAGCCCCTGAGACCTCCCAATTCCAGGCCCTCGGAGAGGATCTAGCCTTGAGTTCTCATCAGCTCTTATAGCGGCTTTGTCCACGGCTTTTTGACATTAACACGCTACGGTTAAACTACGGTTTTATGAAAGTTCAACCTTGGTGGCGCGCTTCCGGAACCCTTGAATAGGACAAAGTCACGTGCAAAAACTATAAAGTTTGCAATTATTTTTGGTACATTGATTTCTTAAGAAAATTACCCTTGAAAAAAGCCCAGTTTGTAAAATTATTACTAGCATCTCAATTTATGGAAACTGAAATATCGGCTGACGTGAAAGAGAAATCTCGTGCCAAAAATGGACCCCTCACCTCCGAAAATCTCAAATACATGTGTACTAGTGGAACTCGGTGTACTCGTACAAAGATGACAATTCATGAATATTTTTGTGGCGGTCATTGGGTGAAACTGAAACTCATAGGAGACTAAAATGTCTTTCAGGATATGTAGTTCCTTTTTTGTAATGAACTTGAAGGACTCATTGGCATTGACACACAAATCTCAAGTGACCGCTGATAAGGACAGCGATTCAAGCCAGCCCGACTAAATCTAGAACCCATCGGCTGTAGGTAGGTAAATCTTTGCGTCGTTGATTATACATTTTCGGTCTTATCTATTATGACATTAATTACAACTATTACCTCATAATATTTTATACTAGGCGATAGCAGAGCACTTTGAGCGCCGCTTGTTCCCGCCTGCAAAGACTGTTTGCCCGAATAACAAGATTACATTAACAATTAACAAAATTAGCAAAGACTGTTTACTCTTAAAATGACAAGATCACGTTGGACAATTAATAAACTAGCAAACTTGACTGTTTGCCCTCTAGTAAAAGGATTACATTAAACAATTAATCAACAAGATGGCAAAGACTGTTTGCACTCTAATAACAAAATGACATTATAATTTTGGTCACATTAAACCAATTAACAAGACTTTTAGAATACCGGGTCTCACATCTTTACTACACAGAGTTGTATCTGAGATTAAGATAACACATCATCGGAGAACGACGTAAAAAAACACGGATAAAATTGTTAAAATGCTCCAAAAACCTGTGCCCAAAAGCCTTCAACGCTCTCCTCCATGAAGATGTTGGCCTTCAGCTTGTAAAATACCATGTTGCTATGAATACTCTTTTTTTTTCCTAATATTTTTCTTTAAACTACTCTTGAGACGTCACTCTAAAAATCCTCCATCCCATACGAACGCATCAATAGCTTTTAATTTTTTAATTCAGTATATGTGCGTAGCTGCAACACTAACATTCATGTACATGTATAACTCCATCAGAGAGGTAATTACAATGATCGTGTGCATGTGATGGTAACAAAGATGGCGTGTGTAATGTGATGTATTTCTATATAGGTCGAATGTGCTGGGCATCGTGAAGAATGGAACAACAGTTATGTGCACCCATGCAGAAGGTTAACAATAAGATCCAGTAATTACAAGCGCATAATAAGGGCCCGAGAGTAAGCCTTTATTACCCAGCAACCCAATGCTGAACAATTGTGTCGATTCTTATTAATGCTTTGAGCTATGAGATGAATCTCATAGCTCAAAGCATTAATAAGAATCGACACATTTTGTTTCCTTGTATTAAAACGGGACAATAGTTGCAGGAGGGACGTAGTGTGCTTTACGTCGGATACGTCCTCGTCCATTCGAAGCGCAGAATCTCCACTTTTTCGTCGTTTCTCCTTAAACGTAAACGATGATTTAGAAAATAGTGTTGGTGCTGTGGAGTGCTCGCCAGAACTGACTTCATCGTCACATTGTCTCTCTATTAAACCTTTCAACCAACGTCCCGTTATCGAATACCACCTGGCTTCATGATGTGCACTTTGCATTGTCCGAAACTCCAAGACAACTATATATTTCCCGCTGTACTGCGAACCGCGGGAAATGGTTATTCTCACGCAACGAGTACGCGATGTGAAAACAAACGTGAACGAACAAGGAGACCGTGGAACGAAAATGCCGGATGTGACAGGTCGTAAGTAAAAGTCGCTTTCAACCATCTCCAAGTGATTGCTCATCATTTTTTTCTTGAGGAATACCAAGATAAAAATTCCAACATGTATGTTTCTTGGGGTAATTGCGGTTAGAAACCATTCTGTCAAAAATCATAAGAAGAGAAAGGGCGACCCAGTGTAAAATGCCCATAGGCGGGCAGCAGCGCGAGGGCTCCGTAAGCTCGCCACGTGACCTTTTACTTCCAGGCTCTCTGAAGTAGGTCACACCAAATATGGGAAGATTTTTGAATGAAAACGAAAACAAGAATGATTGATTTTCAGAAATTGTTTTTAGTTTTTGATTTCACGTTTTTCGCGATTGAATACACGTCACATGTATTCAACTTTATTTCTATCGGCATCACGTAGCACTCGTGTAATCACCGAGTTTATTCTCGGAAGCTTGAAATTGCTTTTAAGCCGAAATGCTGAAGGCATTATAGAGTATTCAATCATATGCCCATTTTGATTGACTGAACATGCATTAAATTGAGAGCGCCCCCTCTCGTCGTGTCTAATTATGAATCCGAGCGCACAGTGCATATAATCGTGTGCAGGTACGCACTGGTGCAGCAGAATCACTTGTGAGCTAGAAATGTAAGGATCGTGCGTTGGCTCGACCGAATTGCTGCAATCATATATTCTGCATCGGCTGCAAGGTTTTGGGAGTTGTATCAGAATGTTGATGACACCGGGCAGAAACAAGGTGGCACCTAGACAAGAAATGGCTGGGAGCCGGAGCTCCTTCGAGCCCGAGGCTCGCTTGCGCGCTAACAGCGTCAGGCTAAGCCACGCCTCAATCGGCACGAACGCCATGGAGAAGCTCCAGATGAAAATGGTCCTTGAGAAGGCGACCGATGCTCACAGCATCGGTAAGGACATGGCCAAGATGTTGGCGGTGATCGTTATCCCTTTGGTAGCTCTGACTGTCATGTCTGCTTTATCTCTGGCCACCACCGTGTCTCAGCTTCGTGACTCCCAAGCCACCCTGGAGGCAATCTCTGCCAGCGATCGCATGACGGACCTGATACTCGCCCTGCAAGTGGAGCGAGGATTGACTGCTACTTTCGTCAGCAGCAACCGGACTGGGGCGGAACTGTCAAACACGCTGAGGGAGAAAAGGTCTTCGACTGATCGGGCTGTCAACTTGCTGGAGACGCTGTCGGAGCTGCAGGTATCAGGCGAGGTGATCTCCACTAAGAACGGTCTTCTCTCAGCTCTAGACAGATACAGGCAAACTGTAGACACCGTGGAGGACGTCTTACCTATTGCCAATGTCATTAACTTCTACACCGATATCAACCACCAACTTCTTATCGGAGCACTGACCCTGAGTACGAATCTGAAGGAAGGAAGCCTCTGGCCCCGAATCGTGTGTAAAGACGGCCTCTTGCAGACGGCGGATCTGTACGGCATTCAGCGAGCTCTGGGCAGCAGCTTCTACGCCGGCTGTTCTCTGAGTCCTGAGAACCTAGAATGGTTCCGGAATCTCTTGTCGAGCGGCGATTCACAGATCACAACGGTGTTCGCTTACTCGGAGCAAACAGCCGCTCTGTACACGGACCTGGTGCGGTCTAAAGACCCCGCCGAATCGCACATCAACACAATGAGGCAGGAGATCATACTCGGAGGCAACCCCTGTGAAAGCAGCGGTGAGGAGCAGGCCAGGCTGATGTCCGACTACTGGTTCGGTAACATGACCATCTTTGTGGATATTGTTGCCAACGTTATATTCGAGGAAACGGACTCTGTCCGCAGGGACATCGACGCGATCATTGCTGGGGCTGTGCAGGCGGTAGTGGTCCACGTCACCGTGCTGTCCCTTACTATCACCATCTCGCTATCTCTCGGTGTCTTCCAGCTCTGGCAAGCCAAACGACTCTTGGGGAAAGTCGGCAAGTACGCTCGCATATTGGACAAAAAGACCCAGGAACTGGCAACGGAGAAACGGACCACGGAGAAGCTGCTGTACCAGATGATGCCCCGCAGCGTGGCCGATCAGCTGCGGCAGAAGAAGGAGCTGATAGCTGAGGAGTTCAGCAGTGTCACCATCTACTTCAGTGATATCGTCGAGTTCACCAGCCTGGCAGCACGAAGCACACCGATGGAGGTGGTGACTTTGCTCAATGAACTGTACTGGTAAGTCCATATCAAGGTTATAGGCCCTATAATTTATATCAAATAATATCAAAATGTGTCTATTTTTTCTTAACTTTGAACAATGCCACGCCTTTAAGCACAGGTGGGTTATCCTAGTTATCCACAAAGCAGACCCGACTTTGTCATTTTAATATCTCAAATATATAGTCACTTTAACCTTATAGCGTGTGTACACCAACTGAACTTTTAAGGTTTTGAGGTGAAGTTACTCTTTTGTTGGGGAAAAAAGACATATTGAATTTTATAAATGTAAAATAAAATGTTAAGAATCTTAAGAAATTCATAAGCAACCTGATAGTTCTTTGGGTTCATTTATGACCACTTTCCTGATAATTGACTGCCCTCCGCTGAGAACAAGTGACCTTAGAACTAGGCCTCAACTGATCCAACAAAGCTCAAAACGTTGAACTTATTTCAGTATGCAAATAGAAAAAAAAAAGAGAAACGGTTCGCTTGTCCGTGCTCTACTGCCGTGTTCTAAAAAAAATCCAATTAATGTATTCCCCCAGTTTCCCCCGAATTAGGGACGAAAACTGTATTTCGGATTGCAAATTCGCTTAGGACACTCTGCGTCGTAGAGTCTATTTGGTCTTTTAATAATTTGGTTCTTGTCCACGCGCGTATAGTTTGGTTTTAAAATTAGAGCGGGACGCTGCTACTCCCCCCCCCCCCCAAAAAAAATCTAATTGGATGTTCTTTCCTGGGAAGATGCTTTCAGTGCAATATGTTATTTGGGAGTCCCAAAGATTTTATGCCCCAAGATAGCAAATTCAATTTGAACACTGACAAAGTACAGGGCGCTATACACTCCCATTATCACGGACGTGCCAACTTTAACGAGGCGTTAGCCTCAGCCAAGAATATTGCATCCAGTTCCCTTTTGCCAACAATTACTCCTGCTCGAGTTATAACGATATTTTTGCAGCTCCATCATGCTTTGAAATTAACGATTGCACACCGGCATACGATAATTACAACCAAACATTATAAAACGGGATCAAAGACGATAAGGCCCAAGGTGCAACGCCATTGTAGGCCATGTATAGATATAGAAATCAGTTCTTTGGTTTGGATGCTAATTTAAAATTCCTCTTTTGCTTCATTTCGCTCAAGACGTTTAAAAACTAGCTTGACCCAGTATGCGATATTGTCCTCACAAGACACCAAATGTGATCAAGAGTGCACAATAAAATAAACACAACCATAACTTAATTGCAGCGGGCAAAGAATTCAGGGTTCCCGTAATAACGCTCCCCCAATTATGCGATTCTCCTTTTGTCCTGGATACGAGGGCTGCCGACATCATTGTGACTGTCAGCACGCGGGACGGTCAGATTTGATTAAGGGCAAATCTCAAATACGCCAGATCGCAAAAGGCAACTATTTTGCGTGCTGCATAAGAGATATCTGTTTGTTGTCCAGTGAACACGCACAGCTAGCTATACGGACGACGGGGGATAAACACACAATGAAATAAAGAGAAAAGGCAAATAAAGCGAGCCAAGGGGCCGGCGGAAGATGCATTAGTTTTGACAGTAATTATCCTTGGTCAACTGCCTCATTTGAGTGTGCTGAAAATTGTGACCAATCGCATCACACCTGCATGTTATGATTATCACACGTTCCATCGTGGCTCTTCAAAAAACAAAAACAAAAAAACAAAGTACGCGCTGCATAAACCGTGCGAATAGTTGTGAAAATCAGTGATTCTTAATTAAATTCTTGCCAACCGATAACGGTACTTATTTTTAACGGTCCTTCCCGTCAACTTCTTCGCGTCGGCCGTTGATTGCAGTGTCGCGGTGTGAAAACTCCATCAGGAGCATGAAGCGTAAAACCAGAAAGTCAGAAAGTAATGATTGGATTAATGACCTTACTCCAATCATTCTATGCAAGTGTGATTTGTGACGTGGGATATGGCGTTTTGTTTACCCCGGCGAGGGGTGCATGTAACACTCGAGGTTTCAAAACAACATGTTCCACATCACAGCAGTCATTATTGTTTTGTTGTACACTCTAAAAAAGCATTAGTCAGATTTGACTAGAAACCAGTCAAATTTGACTAGCCATTCAGGGTCAGCTGAGTGCAACTGAAAATCAGTCAATCTTACTAAATTTTTCCAGTCAGTATTCCTGGCTTTGAAGAAATAGTTATGCGAATAACTGAAATTGGAGTCGAACCCAACTACTTTTTCTAGTCATAGTATGAAATTTTGCATGTTCGACTAAATTCCTAGTCAATTTCCAATAACTAGGAAAACCAGTCAATAATTTGACTAAGTTGTTTTTAGAGTGTATCGCACTGATAATTCAAAACGATTTTGGTTGAATGATTGCGTCGATGATCTATACGGTGCGAGTCCCCTTTTCGTTTAGGCCAGTGTGCTTTCCTTTCTTTCAACTAAATTTTCATTTCTACACGACTCTCGGTATCATTTTCTTGTGAGGGCGTCAAACGATGCAATCCTTAGAGCTAGAGCGCTTACTCCTCATTCTTGCGCGCGCAGACGCTTTGAAGCATGTTTAAAGCCGTCCTGGGCGCAGACATTTTAAATTCATGTGCGTGTTTGTAGAACATTAATGAAATTAGATGGATTAAATTTTGAAAGTGTACTGTAAATGCAACGCGCTAGGAGAACGTCACGCGTGTTACGGTTAAAACAAAACACGGTTAATCAAGGCTGCAGCCAACCTCGTCCCCAGGGTGTCGAACAGTACGCGCCCTTCACTCACCATGGTATTGGATCATTTGCATGTGCAAGATTTTTGAACACGTATGCAAATGAGGAACAGTCTGGTGCCTGGATATGCGTTACATTAGCGTTTGTTTTTTTATGCGGTGTCTGGGGTAAAAAATAGAGTCAATTCGTCGAAGCGCGAGCACGGCGTGAGTTACGAAAACATATTTTAAAATTAAACTGTTACGGATCTTATCGAGACAACATGCAGTATCATATCTCATATTAATATGAGCAAATTTGGAAAGGAAATTAGTATTTTCGAGAAGGCGTGGACGAATGATCGCGAAAACACGTACTGCACGTTGTGAATAATAGCACCAAGTACACGATAAAAATCCATTACAAGCCAATTGCGGTATCGAATCAGAATACAAGAAGAAAGTTTCCTATCCAGGGCTTTCTATTGGAAGCGTGGTTGGAAATAAAGTAAGCACTGGGGACGAGGTTGGGCTGCAGCGGATACGCTCACGCGTTGCGCTGCTTGCGTAGATCAAAATGACACGCTCATTGCTGATCGTGCGTTTCGGTTTTGGGCGTATCTGCTTCGATGACGCACCGGTATGGAATACAAACGCAGATATGCATATAGCCGTACAAAAGCCGTACAAAATTTCTAGTTCTCCATAGGTTTGTGTACAAACATGGATGCGCCCAGGCCGGGCATCACTTTGTACCTAAGTTCGCGCTCTAGTAACTTTAACGCATCTCTATGATGCAACCATATAAGCATCAGTATATCTATTTGTCAAAAATGAAGTAGAATACATTTCCCAGCCTTTTGTCTGCTATTATAGAAGAACTGACAATAGACCGGGAAATGTATTGTACTCTCATTTTGACAAATATAAAGTCGGAGTCTTATGATAGCATCGTCACAGAAGACCCCACGGGAAATGAACATCGAGTTTTCATGTCTTTGGAGGCCTTAAAAAATCATCTCTCAGCTGATCAACCTTCGACTTTCGCTCAGATTTTGTTCACAAGCCATTGACCGCAAGAGATGCCTGCCATGTGCGATAAGCTGTTATTTCTGCACCCCGACGCAGGAAGTGCACATTACGAGCATGAGTGATGATACTCTTGACTTAAATCCACCTGAAGATTATTGAAAGGTGTGTTACGGCCTGAGATGCCCCAAACATTGTATGTTTTAGATTGTTTACTGATCCTATTTCAAAGGATCTAGTTGAGAGGGAAGGTACTTTATATTTTACCGTTCACGAGAAAATACGCAAAAAAACCGGTTGTTTACTTCGGATGCGGCGGACATTTTTTTGTCACACGCACACGTATTTCACGCCGTATCTATTCAATGTACGCTACACGTTGTGTGTTGTTTCTAACAGTCCGCAAAATGCGAAACACTCAGGATTCACAACTAGCACTAAAGAGAGTTCTCGCATGGTTCTCGCAAAAATTAACCTATCGCGGTAGATTCGCGTCAACGCAGCTTGGACGCGGAACGCGCAAGGCCGAGAAATTTCATGGGGTTGTCTAAGTGGCGTGGCTAACTCGCAAAAGGCAATAGGTCAATATCACTGTAACACGCAATAATGACGTTTACAACTTCTATCCAATTAATAATTTGAAACGCATTTTGTAGTCCAATTTGGTGCATTCCAGAGGGTAACGTGCATTAAAGGCAAATTCAGGCGAGATATTGTGATAAAACTGAAGAAAAAAAAAGAGAACAACAAGATACATCTGATCACGATTATAAAGAGGGGAACAATTTCCAAGTTTTGAACAATACAAAAATTAATACAAAAATTAATTGAACCGCACACAATTTGATCAATATGGTAAAAAGCAGTGGCAATTTGAGGGAATAAGGGAATAAATGTGTTCTTGGCCGGTTTTACTCACTATGCTTCAGACCGGTTGGAGTCTGGATGCTGATAATTGCGCGCGATTGCACGTGTAATTTTCAACATTTGAATTTGCCTGTCGGGTCAGGTGTGCTTGTGCGAAGTATGAGGGGTCATGCACACAACATTGTCAGACGAGACTTGTGCAACATAATCCACTCAAAATTACGTGTTAAAAAAAATCTATACGTTGAAAACTCAGAACAAGTTTATGCATAAAATGTAACAGTTTCACGAACGATTTTCAATATGTTCTGAAACATCTTCTGTAAAATTGTATGGAGAAAAATATCAATTTGGATGAGGCAACTAAAATAACACATGCAATCTAATTCATTTGGAAGAATAAAGTATACACTCCCCAGCAGTT